GAGTTGCAGGTCAACCGAAAGGAGAGATAAACACAAATTTTATAATGTTTAGAAAATGGTTTTGAAGGAAGGTGGGAATCTGGGCTTTCTTTATCTAAAGAAGAGGACATCATAGGTATTTGAAAAGTCTGGAAAGGAAAGGAAAACCACTATGTAAATGGTTCTTACACAGATGAGAGTTAGCTGTGCTTTGAATCTGTTGTGGATAAACCAAAAAAACATTCCCAAACTTCAGGTTAAGGAAGTCCAGTGGCAAGATCATCACTGCATCCTTGTCCTGCACCTATACACTTCTCTGAAGCCTCTGCCGTTGGCCACACTTACGTAGAGGACACTGAGACAGCTGAGACTTTGGTCTCAACAACACAGTCATGATTATTGTCTTGATTATCTGCTTAATTTGCAGCAGAGAAGGCTTATGAAAAACTTCTTAGTTGTGAGGATAGTCAAGTGCCGAAGGAGGCCACCTAGGGAGAATATACATCATCAGAGGTTTCAGAGAACAGATTACACAAACAGCTGTTAAGGGCAGCTCAGGCATATGTGACCTTGCCTTCAAGGAGAAGGGTGGACAAGGAGACCTCCTGGGATCTGTCTAGGATTCTGACCCTGTTTTCATGGCTTCAGCCAAAAGCAGTGCCCTCAGATGCCTTCTTCCAGTGACACCTTCTGCCATCAGTGGATCCACTAGCTGTATAGCAGTATTGTCCGTCTCTTTCCTTCTCCAGTATAATACATGTACCAAAGACAGAGAGATGCATGAGGGATATGGCTGTGTTCCATTACACCCTAGGAACCACACACAACAGACAGAAGATAAAGAAGTTTGGGAGCTGTTCAACTGAAGACTGGGCCACTACTTTCCAGCCTCATTGCAGAGGAAGAGCAATGGTTTAAAGCCAGCTTTGCCCTCACCCATGGCCCAAGGCCAAGTACAGCCCAACTGGACTGGAGAATGTAGGCCAGTGGCAGAAGCCATTCCCTGAAGACTTGAAAGAACAGTTGCCCTTGCAACTCCCCTCACTTCATTTGCTTCTCTGTACATGGCTAACAGCTTGCAAACTGGCAGCAACCCAGCAAGCAGAGGGGAAGACAGGATTCCTGCTAGACAGACATATTCACCCTCCCAAGTCCTCACTTTTACAAACCATAATGTTGTGATTCCTTAATTCTCATCTCTCCAAACCCAGCTAATCTACAAAGCAAGCATTTTGTCCTATTAGAAGAACTCCTAGTCCTGCAAAATCACAGGTTGTTTGGCAGTATGAAAAAGATATGGCTGCAGGCTCTGTGCATGGTGCACACTTATGTCATTGGTCTCTAGCTTTCAGGGAGCAATTGTGCAGTGACAAAAATGCAAAGAAAGAAAGGAAAAAATATCAAATATTTACTGGAGGAAAAGTGATCCGACCCCACATGGTACAAATTTAGGGATGCATTGTAGCCACATTATATGCACATAGCTACTGAAACAGTTTCCAACAGAATGTTTACACAGTTGTCTGGAAGCATATGGTTTGCCTACTTTTCAAAGCCAATTTATATGCAGCACACATATCAGCATGCATGAAAAGTCAGACAAAAACACAGATGCATGCAACAAGCCCTGGCCAGCTCTTGCTGGTCTTTATTGTTTGTTGCTCACAAGTACCTAGGAGAGAGGACAAAGGTAGCAGTCTGTTGTGCTAGGTGCTGTACTATCTCAAACTAGAAGACAGGTATTTCCCTTGAGCAGCATACAATCTCAATTTAAGACAAGATATAACAAGTGAATGTAACAGAAAGTGAGGGAGTGACATATGGGAATGAATAATAAGAGAGTTTATATGTGCCAGCTTTATACTCTCATGTGCCAGTTAATTGAATACATGATGCAAACAAATACTAGTCTCCTACTGAAGGCAACAAGTTAACTGTAGTCAGTTGATGATTTATCAGGAGCTTCACAAAGAAATTAGTGAGAAATTTGGAGGAGCCCATGGGGAGATGATAGATATGTTTGGAGAGGGCATCCTGGAGAAAAGTGTCAGCATGGGATAATGGAAAGGGTGTGTGACATGGGAACAGGAAGATGAAGGAGGTTAGCACCATTTAGGCTGCAAAACAGGGAAGGTTAGGTAACACAGCTGCTGAGAAGGAAGGTTGTGAAAGTCCTGGACTAAAAAATAAAGAGCTTGTATCTAAGTTGTTAAAGAGACTGTGGGACCAAGAAGCTGCAAAAGGAAAAAAAAGGATGAATTTGTCACTGCACTTTGAATAGATCCAGGGTAACAAGTTCAGTGGGCGTCAGGACTACGTCTGGGTGAAAAGGGTCAGAGTGAAACTTATGTCACTGGAGGTAAAAGCCACATAAAGAAATGGTGTGGAGCCACCAAACCAGTCACAGCCCGTGCTGGAAAGCATGGGGGTGAGGTCTTCTCCATGTCCAAGGAGGAAGGTGAGAGGAAACACCCCTTAAACAAAGCAGAGGTAGCACCAGCTACAGGATAGGGTACAACAGGGACAGCAAGTGAGGCTTGCCCAAGGTTATGTGTTGTGGCCAGCTCAAGAACACACCTTAATTTTAACAGTCAGCTCTACTGAACCACCTTCATTGAAGGCCCGAAAGGACAAGTCTAAGGGAAGAAGTGGAAAGATGTATTACTCCCTCTTCTTGAAGTGCCCCTTTGCAGAAGACCCCCCTCTCCATGCATGCAGTCATTGCATGAATCAGAGCTGATTTTCCTGCCTTAGGTGCCTTGAGTTAGGCAGTGTGAAAACCACTCATCAACAAAATTGCATTCAAGTCCCTCTACTGCAGTTCCCTGTGTCACTGCTCAGACAGATGTCCTGTCCTCTGGGGTCTGTGCAGGTACTATTTATGTTCAATATTGTTTATATACCCCAACACCTCCATGGGGAGATGCCAAATCAATAAGCCAAGAGCTGAAGTGTAGTCATTTAGTGCCTTTATTTTTCTGTTTTTAAAAGGCCAATGGTCTTTCTACAACTCTACAAAGTCTCTTACAAAGTCAACAGAAGCACTGCCAGCACTTACATGCTGCACACCACGCCCACCACCCTGGGACCCCCCGCTACCCTGCCCACGACCCCACATCAGCTCCCCAGGGCCATCATCCCCTGCCCCAGTGATGCTGCAGCAGGGCTAGTCTCCAGCTCCCCACATCCCTGCCCTGCCCAGCAGTGGGTGCTGCCAAGCCAGGCCCATCTGTGAGCCCAGCCTCATCCCCATGGAGGTGCACCCAGCTCTGGTGTCCTCAGCTTGCCCCACTCCTGGAAGGCGCAGTGGGACAGGCCCTGGCTACCAGGACCTGCCATGATATACCAGGGGACCCCCTGCACTCTGGCACCAGTTGCCTGAGAAATACTAGCACAGGACAGGAATCAGAGGACAAGCTCCGCCTTGCCAGGACCAAAACATTCTGACCCAGCCCTTCCACACGAGATGTTTTAAGGTTTTATAAGGGATGTTTCTGCTTTCCTTCTGGTACTGAGCTACCAAGGTCTAACCTGATCGTGTTTTGTCTTCTCTACAGTGACACTGTCTGGTACCTTGAAGAGAGGGCTGCTGCTGCTATCTTCCACCTCTGGGCCACCTCAGCAAGGACCAGCTGGAGCCTGGTACTAGGTGCCACACAGGGTCTGGGCTGCACTGTAACTGAGCATGCGGGGCAACCATGCCATCCCCACCTCCATCACCACTGTGGAAACCTCCAGTCCAGGCCAACTGCTGTTTACAAAGGGGAGAAAATAGACCCCAAGGACCTGTCCCCAGTGTCCTGGGTTCAGTTGTAGCAGTTATTTTTCTTTCTAGCAGCTGGTGCAGTGCTGTGTTTTGGCTTTAGTCTGAAAACAGTGCTGATAAACCAGCCATTTTTTAGTTGTTGCTGAGTAGTGCTTACCCTGATCAAGGACTTTTCAGTCTCTCATGCTCTGCCAGTGAAGAGGGGCACGAGAAGAAAGGCGGGAGCAGAGACAGGACACCTGACCCAAACTAGCCAAAGGGGTATTCCATACCACAGCATGTCATGCCCAGTATATAAACTGGGGGGACTTAGCCAGGAGCCACTGATCACTGCTTAGAAAGGGGCTGAGTATCAGTCAGCAGGTGGTGAGCAACTGTAATTGTGCATCACTTGTGTTTTCTGAGCTTTCATTTCTTTTTCTCTTGTTTTCTATTATCATTATGGTTGGTATTCTTTCTATTATTACTACTTTTTACTTTATTTTCGTTACTAAACTGTTCTTACCTCAACCCATGGGGTTTGTGTTCTTTTTTTCTCCTTCCCATCCTGCCCCAGGAAGGACTGGAGAATCACAGTAAATTCACCAGAATAAGCCACTTAGATGCTAACATCAACTCACTCCCTGAACAACAGTGAGCTGAGGAGCCTCAAGGCCCATACTGGTGGCATTTCTTGATAATAAGTGGATAAGTGGAGAGCTGCTCACCTTCTGTGACACACATAGATGTAGAGGGAAAAAAAGTATTTTCTTCTTTTTTTCTCAGCCAAATCCTTTCTTGGGCTGTTACAGATTATTCACACAGCAGCCGTGCGTGTGCTGGCTGATCAGATTACTGCACCAATGGCTCCATGGCTTTCAAATTCATTTCACAGATTCCCAAGAAACAGATGCTGGTACACGATAAGTTGCAACACCTGGCTTCAAAACATGTCATCAGTTCATCAGCCTCCAATATCTTGAGTAATATCTCAGTTTGGTGGAAAAATGTTACCCTAACCAGTGAACATATTTCTGTGTGGGGAAGTAAACCTCCTTTTATGTACTTTACATAAGTACATCAGTTGACATCAGTTGACGTCAACAGTTGACATGCTGATTCACACCTTTGCGCTGTTCCCAGAACTACTTAAGCACACACAGCCCAAGTCAGTTCAGTGATCCTTTTTTAAACATTTGGTGTTCTGGCTTCCCAGAAGTTACCTACTCATCACAAGCAGCTTTACATGGCTTTATAACACAGCTGAGATTCTTTGAACTTTTTTTTATTATTAAAACAAAACCATTCATTTGCATATGCATTGATTTTGATTATCAGAGGACACAGATATGAATGCATAAGTAACAGAAGGAAATGAATCACATGAACTTTCTTTGTTGTTGTAGAGTTCTGAATTCCAGGCTGCTTTCTGATGTGATGAAGGTAAGGTATTATTACAGTACACACACTCAGAAACTATTACACAATACTCATTAAAAAAAACCTACACACATCATATACTCAACTAATTTGACCAGACTGCTGTTTTCCACAAAACCTCTTACCTTGCTGTAAGACAGAATTACCCAGGGTACAAACTGGACCTTCTACTAACAAGACTCTCAGGAATCTAATTACAGAATGGCAAAAATGTTGAATAGAGGCACACTGAATAATATGGCTGTCATTTTATGGCAATGCATGATATACAACTAAAAGCCACCCATATCCAATAAAGTCGATGGGAAGATTTGCATCAGTGTACAAGAGCATAAAGGAAAGCAAAACAGTGTTTCTTACACTGTACTGCCAGGAAAATGAACATGTCTAGGTTTCAGTAAGACCTTTTTTAAGGTGAAGTTTAGACATGCAGAATTGCTAAGAGCAGGAGAGTGGGACAGAGGGAAAGCTGGTGAATGCCCTGTTGCCAGTTTTGTCCACAAGGTCATTCCAAGAAGTTCTTGCGAGTCATTTAAAAGTGGGGCCCCGGGGGCTGCTGTCCCACTGCATCAGTGATGCTAAGGGCAGTGGGCTCTGTCCCTGCCCCAGTGCCTTCACTTCCTTCCCTGTGGTAAGAATTAAAACAGCACAGTATATTTCTACCTTCTCTCCTAAAGTCTTGAGGCAGATACTACTGCTCCCACCTAACAAATGGGTTGCTGTCTTCTGACCAAGTATATTTCCCACAGTATCATAATCCTTCTATTAATTTCTCTGAACCCTCAGTTCACTCTGATGAAGAATGGCGGAAATTCATTCTCAGTTTCTGTGAGCCGTGCTTTGTGTTACAGTGACAAATGCTCATCAGTGGGTAATTAGCTTCTTGGCCAGTAGGTAGGCTGGGCCCATCAATTTCTGCAATCTAAATGCACTAAATCTACGCAGTAAATCTACCCTTAGAAGCAGGACGATTGTAAAGCACCAAGCACCCATAAACACCAATCAAAACCTAAAGATCCCGGTACTGCTAAACTGCTGTCAGCAATGCTACTGACCAGAGTGGGCAATTCTTTTAAGTGTAAGTAGTATATATAATAGCCACAGATACAGTACAACAGATCAGAAGAATTCTAAACTGGCATTGTCTAAAGTTGTATCGGATCTCTCATTTTGGTTGCTGCTAGTTTTATCGCATGCTTATGTCACTGAGATACTAGGACTGAAAGGTCACATCATATCTTAGGAGATAACCATCATTGTAAGCATACAGTCTCTGATCTGTGGGGCTATAATCAATGCTTTGGACTGTGTCTAATTTTTTATCCATAATGACACTAATACTACCTTCTTGGCCAGTACTTGTGTCATACATGTAGAAGATTTCCTCTTTCCTAGTGTTCACTGGCCTTGTGGCATACAGAATACCACATAACATGAAAGCATTGGAAACAGATGGTTTGTACTGTCTTGTCTGCCAAGTATTTAGCACATCAAGAGTAGTGTCATTGAGTTTGCTAATCACAATGTTGCCCATGTTATTTTCTGTTGAATATATTACCCACAACCCACTTTCATCCACAGCAAAATCTATGTCTTGCCATGATACACCTGCATAAGAGAAACGGTTACCGTAAGCAGCATTCAGAAGCTCCTTCCTTAAAACCATGGTGTTTTTTCTTATATCATGCTTCACAATATATCTTGAATTATAAGCATGATAGTACAAATAATTATTATAAAGGGCAGCACCACTTCCTTCCCCGTATGTTATTCTACTTTCATACATGGGTTTAAACAGCAACAAATTATCAAAGGAACTATAAATTCTGTAGTATTCCAAGTATCTCCCATCTGTGTTCAATGGTGCAACCCAATATACTTCATTCTCTGGGTTAGAGGGAGAGTAGTCTCTACCCCAGGAACCATATTTGTAGGAAAATCCTCTCCAGTTCAGCTTTGCAATATAGGGCTGGCTAACATTCAGCAGTCCACGGTGAATGCAGCTACCTGAAATTAGAAAGAAAAACACAGGATTTCTGAATGTCATCATCAGGAGAGAGATTTTTCAGATCAGCTTCATGGCAAAGGCCAGGCATAAATGCATAGCTTCATGAGCAGAAGGCTCGTTTTGGGGCCAAGGTCAGCAACTGGGTGGCACTGAGTGTTCCAATTTGACTCACAAAGTTAGTAAAAAAATAAAAAAAAAGCAGTATACATGTTACTACAACTATGTGGGGCAAGCAGGGGTGGAAAAAAGATAGGGACATCCATCCTCAGTTAGGATTAATTTTCAGAAAATAAGTGCTCATTGTGCTGCTCCAGACAAGGAAGAGATTTTTGTTTCTGCCCATTTGATGCACGTCAGCCATATGCGCTAGGAAATCCCTTGGAAAATACAACTGACGAAGCATTTTAGGTGATTTTTTACCTCAGTGGAGCTAAGAGCATAAGAGATGGGGGAAAAAAGGGGGAGCATCTGATTTCTATGTATTTCAATGTGGAGGGGAAGGAAGGAGCAACAGTAGCAGTAATTTCAGAATCACATATCAGATTAGCATTCTGCTGTCAGAATCACAGCTTCCCAACAGGGCATCACAGCTGCATGGGTCTTCCACCTCAGGCCCTCAAAGAAATCAGCAGACAGTAACAATCACAGCCTAGGAAATGTATACAGATTTTACTCCGAGTTTTCATGTAAAGCCACTCTGAGGAGAACGTAACTTCAAGCTGAACCAGAACAGCTCTGCTTTCCATATATCAACTACAAAGCCATTTGAAGCTCATGGAAAAATTAATCAAAATACAAGAAATACTTTCCTTTTCTCATGGTGAATGGCAGTGACATTCCTGCTTCCTGATAAATTCTCAATATTATAAGGCATTGGAGGAAAAAAGTCCACTTACAAATGTCCATGGGTTTGACAAGTCCAAAGCTGCCACTAGCAAAAACCAGAATGTTTTTTCCAAGTATTAACATTAGCTTTTTGTATTACTGCCACAAAAGTGACCCAGATTTTTCATTGTAAGGATATGTTCATCTGAGGTAATGGAGACAGAGATGTCAAGTGATTAGCACCATCTAATATTTCCCAATTCAGTGAGGCGCTCTAGCCACTAGACCCAAGGGTCACATGCCAAGTAATGGGTAAACTAATGGCCACAACTGCTCGATGTTCCCTCAGCAAAGGGACTCCGTACACCACCAGCTATGGCACCAACGATGAAAGTCAAACTTATCTTTTGAGACTTTAATATTTTGCATGTAAGCATGATTGCTTACAGCCTGTATGAAAAGAGTGACTGTTCATAAGTTCAGTCATATGAAGGGATATCTAGCATATCAGTGACCTATGTCTTAGCACAAATCAGAAAGAAATGTAACAGAGAGAGTATTTACCTTTTGTTCTTAAGGGGGAATCCCTTTGAGAGATTGCCCTCAAACTGCCCATACCTAAGCAAAGCCAGACAATACTTACAAAGCTGAATTGAAAACTCCTAAAGCCACTGTCAGGAAAAGCCTAAGAGACATCTTGTTTTCAAAAGCATCCTAATCTATCCCAAAGATAGAGGGAAATGTGGACACAGACCAATCTGAAGTATTCTTCTTGGAGAAAGACAGGGGAACAAGGTGAAAAATGGACTGCTGCAAAAGTAGAAGAATGTTTTTCTGATCTGCTTTGCCCAAGGGGAAGGTGCTCTGCCTCCAGGTCAAGGAAACCTCTGGTCTGAATATTAGAAAGGTCCAAGCAAGAGGGTAACATTTGTGCCAATGCGTAAAGTCCATTTGCACAGTGAAGCTCTCCATGTCTCCTCTCTTCTCAAAACATAGTGTTTTCCTCCTATTACAGAACACCTTCACCACTCACAGTTTTGTGCCATCTTGCACTAGTGACTTGAGGGACATATGATTCACCCGCAGCCTCTCTCAACATCTATGAGGAAGCTGGGTGGCAACTTTATATTAAATATAAATCACTATGCTGAGCTAAAGCCCTATGTCCCCAGGCCACATTGTCAACTTCTTTGGGTTTAGTACTGTGCACGGGAGCAGCTCTGCATTGACGACATGAGTTGTGAACAAACCTGTCTCTCCTCTCAGCCCCTTTTGTGTCCTGGGATTCTTGTGGAATGTGAAATGTAGGATGACCTTGTTTGAACGCTGCTTCCCTCCATACCACCAAGAATCAAATGCGAATCAGCATTCCTGGTTTGAAGCAGATAAGCATTTAAGCGTGCATTTAAGTGCTTTACAAAGGATGAGGCCCTGGAGCAGAAACCTCATTTCCAAATATAGCACAAGAAAGGCACTGCTGTATGGCTAGCCCAGCTGTATCTCTGGTAATGGCACGTAGCATGGCTAGTAACATGGCCCCAGCACTTGGCACAGATACCAGTGTTTGGAGGTGCTTGTACCTCAGCTCATGCAGAGGAAGAAAGCTAAAGCAGACAGTGCAAAACAGCTTGCAGCCTGCCAACTCCATTAATCAATTTGAACTGTTTTTTCTTACATCTATTATAAATTTTTGCCTCCTGCATGAGGGCTTCTTTCAAGCTGGTGACATATTGAATATCTTATTGTGTTTAAATCACAATAAACTTATTCCAGAATTAAATGGTTATTAAATGCTCTAAAACTCTTGATTTGTTTAGAAAAATATAGCACCAAAGCTTGAAGGTAATGAAGCACTACTAAGCTCATCTATATGCGACCTCAAACAATTTTTCATGTCATTAGCAGAACACAATTCCAGATTTATTTTAATAATTCATACATTGTTTCATAAATAAAAAAACAAACGTGTGTTCAGCAGAGAGACCTTTTTTACAAAAGAAATAATAAATTATTATTTCTTCCCTTAAAGAGATCTCTCTGCTGAACACTTGTTTGGTTTTTATTTATGAAACAATGAATTATTAAAATAAAGTTAGAAGCATGTTCAGTTTTAATGATATCAAAAATCATCTGTGGTTTCTATAGAGTATGTGCTTGATTTTGATTTCCTTGAAAACTCTTCCCAGAATTCTTACTTTTTTACCAAAAAACTCAGCGGTAGTCAGGGGGTGATCTGTCTTCAGCACAGGTTCAGAAGAATTCATTGTTGTTTATTTAATCTAAACTTGTCTCCCTGTCTGGATCTTGTGGGGAAAAAAAATGCACAAAGGAAACTAAGCGTCATGTAATTTTGTAAATATTAGAAGGCACTTGAAATAAATCCATATGCATTATTCAAACTTTTAAGGTTTTAACTCTTTTATCCATTGTTCTGGGTGTCCTGGGTTCAGCAGTAGCAGTCATTTTTCTCCTTCTTAGTAGCTGGTGCAGTACTGTGCTTTTGATTTTCAGCCTGGGAACAGCGCTGATAACACCGATGTTTTTAGTTGCTCCTCAGTAATGTTTACCCTGACCTAGGACTTTCTGAGTCTCATGCTCTGCCAGGGTGGAGGGGAAGCCGGGAGGAAGCAGAGACAGGACAACTGACTCAAACTAACCAAAGAGGTATTCCATACCATAGCATGTCATGCTCAGTATATAAACTGGGGGCAGTTACCCAGAAGTGCTAGATCACTGCTCAGTCAGGCTGGGTATCGGTTGGCGGGTGGTGAGCGGTTGTATTCTCTTCCCTCGTTGTTTCCCTTACCATTATTATTATTATTGGTGGTAGCAGTAGTGGTTTGTGTTATACCTTAGGTACTGGACTGTTCTGAGGGGGAGGAAGAAGGAGGAGAGTGAGTGAGCGGCTGCATGGTTCTGGGTTACCGGCTGGGCTTAAACCACCACACTGGGCCACTGATAAATGAAGTCCTGGTATTTTTGCCTGCCTTTATTTCATGCTTATGTAGCAAATAGGTGAGAGGAGGACTAACACAGGTACAAACACACATACTTCTCCTTACATAAAGAACCAGTATCTCAGCTCAGTTGTTTCCTAATCCTTCTTATTCATCAGAAAAAAGCTGGCATTTACTTATGAGGACTGGAGGGAGTCTGACTTGCTTGGCTAATGGGCTGCAAAACGGAGCATCCCATCTGGTCTTGCTTCACCCACTTCACTCACAAAGAACATCAGCTTCTCACTCTGACAATGAAAGTGCTAAACAAACTCCAGCAGCTTCCCCAAAGCAAGCAGCTTCCTCTGGTCACAGAAGAGAAGGGACCACCATTCATTTATGCAGCTGAAGAGCACAAGACAATGTGGGACCTACATTTAAAGTAACTCCCACAGAGGCCACAGAGACCAGGAGCAGGCTACTGCTACACTCTCAGACATGCTCCCAGGCACCATATGTGTACCCTCCTCTCCCACTGGACGAACCGCTGCATCCAGACGTGTGAGCTGTTACCAGCGTTACTACCGCTTGAGACATAGGAGATGGAGCTGGTTTGGCAAAGACTCATGTGGCTCCTACTGTCTCACTGACACAGGAAGATCCATGCAGGCACCTCTGTTTTCACCAGCATCACAGGACACAGGCACAGGATGACAGTTGGTGAGAGACTTATGCTATCAGCATCTAACAGGGGATGAGGTAGAGGGCTGGAGTCCACCTGAATTACCTTCAGACAACAAAATGTTCAGGTGCCTCAGCTAAACTCCCGCCATTGCCAATGTGTCTCCAGGGGCAGTCCAAACAGTCCTAGAGAGGAGCCACTGGCGAGCTCTTCTCAAGTTCCTTCAGGCATGCCTCTCTCTTCGTGTATGGACATACTTATTTCAAAACGCAACCCAAAACACTCAAAAAATCATAGACATCTTGGATACATAGGAGGTAAAATGTAAGGTAAAAGTGAAATCACTATACAACTCCAACAGGACTGCTTGAGTTTCAGCATTAGGTTACACCAAGTTTCCTCCTGCTGAGACCTATTCACCAGTAACTTGAAATCCTTAATTCCTAAATGTATAAAAGCCAGAGGGGGGAAGGAGAAAACAGGTTTGCTCTTTTTTTCCTTTCTTTTTTTGCCTTTGAGAGTTTCATCTGACTCACTTCTCCCTGCTGCCTCTCAGATCATTTCAGTGAGATATGACAAAGAACCTGCTGCAGAGTCTTCAAAGAACGATCCTGGGGTCTTTCCTCTCTATACTTGCCCTGATGAGAACAGCACAAAAGAAAAACAAATGGATAAATATTTCTTCCCCCTGGAGTGGTGAGAAGAAAGATGCCAGAAACTGCTGCAACTGGAAAGCCAGTGATGAGGAGGAGGATAATTAACTATGCATTTACTGAGCCCTATCTCAGACACTCAAACCCCCACCTCTTCGGTCAGAGGGTAAGGCAAATGGACACCAGTGATCTCTTTCTGCTTTGTTGTTTAAGAACAGGCCTGCTCACTCTGAGAAATACAGCAGCAAAGGTCTTGAGGGACAGAGTCAGAGGGCTGCATACTACAGCACTGAGAAGCAAGAAGCTTTAATTAAACTTGCCTTTAGACTCATGGTCTTAGACAGCTTGGGGATTAGCCAAGCTCTCTCTAGTTCATGTTGCCTACCCAAAACATGCAGAAGAGAGGATGAAGGAGAAAAAAAAAAAAAAAAGCCTCCAGAAAACAGGACAAAGAGTCAGTTTAATACAAACATTATAAATATAATATGAACTAAAAGCAGGGCAAGGCCAAATGGTTTGGCAGGAATTCAAGGCATTCAAGCTTGCAGACAAAATGCATGGAAATTGTGTTCATACACATAAATGAGCGCTAGAGAGCTTTGGAGTCCTAGGTGTGAGCATCCATGCAAAACCTCCAAAATGGCCATCTAGAAAATGCAGCTTTCTCACTTACTCCATGCCCCCAAGCAATAACATCGTACTATGTCTTCTTGTTTTCAGATATAGTTTGCAGGACACCTAACTGCTCTTCGCCCAAAGTTCTTTGCCCAGAGAATGCTTTTTCCCCACCAGGCACGTAAAGTTAGGATACACCAGTCTTGTATGGATTAACAGGGATCTGAGCCTACATAACACCTGGGTTATCTGTACAGCTGGCACCTCCCAAGAGGCAGGAAACTTGCCAGCCCAGGGCAATTGCTCTAACAGTCCTTTGTGCTGAGCCCAGAATCCACTCTCACCCTGAAGATGGCCATAACAATATGCCCACATACATCCTCCAATCCCTATGGGATTCCTATTGCTGTGGGCAGAAGATAAACTCACAGACAACACCAGAGGATGCTCTCAGCTGATGTCCATGGTTATAATCCTTTGGAAATCAATGGAGCTATTGTTCACACCACCCAGGGTTTTGGTCTTTTAGGTTATTTTCTGCTCTGTATTTTTCACATAATGCAGCAACATGCAAAGGTGCCTGAGCTAGCTGGCATGCAGGTCAGGAATATGGTCCCAGATAAATTCTATCCACCTCCCCACCATGGCCTGAGAAAGAATGCTAAATAATCCTAGTACAGCCACAATTCAATGCAGTTACGTTTACCCATCCTGCTCTAGACGTGACTTGCCTACCCTTGCACGAATCTGCACTGTGAAGCCTAGAACTCCCTTTCCCATTCAATGAAAGTTCCTGTGTCTTACAGATGCTCATGCCAACCACCTGGGTTTAAAAGCAGCCCTTTTCTTCATCGCTCATGGAAGGACACAGTATTCTTTTTCCAGAGTTCACTATTTTCCCACTGAAATAAGGGCTTGCTGTAGGCTTGAAATATATTGTTTCTTACCACTCACTGTTACCCCCAGTGAATCAATGAGATGCTATCCCAAATCCTTTTAAAATACTGGGGTTTGTTGTTTTTTTTTTTTTCCTCATTTGAACATTTTAAGCCCTTCCATAAGGAGCAGAGAAGCACCTTGAGATTTTGTAAAGCAGGTTTTTGTTTCAGCTTTTTCTCCTGCCTGATGCCCAGACAAGGTGCTTTTCATGCATCCTGCAGAGAAGTGCAACAGCTGCCTACATTGCCATGAAACCCTCAGGAGATCACAATAGGAAAGGCTGCTGACCCTAAGAGAGGCTTGTGTTTCTATCTCTCACCTTTCCAGCTAGGTGTCAGAGCTAGCTGGCCCCAGGGTCATAAAGAGGTAAATGCCAGCAGGTGCAAATCTGCACTTCTTGCAAGCACTACTCCTTGTTTTCTATGGGCAACTCTAGCTGATGGCTAACAAGCTTATGTGAAAAGGCAGGATCCTTCCCCTGGGTATTGTACACAACAGATCACTCTCTCTCTTGCAATGCTCTGTCAAAAGGAGCTCCCTGTGTATACAACACTCATGGGATCAACACAGTTTGATAAATCCTCCTGTTAGCAAGCGTGATCCTTGACCTGGCATACCTGCACCAATGTTTTGTGGTCTGCTCCAGTGTATCATATCTGGCTCTGAAAACTTCTCAGACTATAACTCACTCACACTGTGATTTTTTAAACTGAATACCATGTCAAGACAAAAATTATTCCAGTTGTAAACTAATGGCCACATGACCTGCGAATGTTGATACTTTAATATGAACTGCACTCTGGAATCACTGATCCTATTAGCCCCAAACATAACCTTTATTAGTTAAGAAAATTATAAAATCCTACTTCAACAGAAAACAGTAACAAAGCTCCCACTTATCTGCTGAGACCAGAATTTCCCCCCAGGTCTCTTGACCTTCTGATTTCGAAAAATCTTTTCTAAAGATTGTGAAGCAAAAGTAATCTTCACGCAAAGCTACCTTCTGGAGCTTGGGTATCAGCAGCTTTATTAATCAGCTATTGCTCAGACATTCCCAAAGCAACATTAGAACAAAATTGCCATGACACAGTCACACTCACAAGAGCGATTAAAAATCAAAGCTGGTCAGAAAAAAAAATAGTGTTTCCCACAAAAACAAGACAAAACAAAAAGTAATTGTTTTGAGAAAGAGAAGAGGGGTTAGATATTTGATTTTCACACTGCAGGGGAGATGAAGATGACAACTTTTTCCAGTTGAAAATAGGTACTGTGTCTGGAAGAGTTTGTTTCCTGCCTTTATTTTCCTTTTGAACCCACTGATGAAACATTAGGAGCTGTCTGCTCAATTTTTCAAGAGCTAAGTAGCATCATTACAACTGTATTTAATATTAACAAAGGGAAATCTCTGCATTTACTATTCTACCCATGTATTACGTTGTCTCTTATCTGATATGCAACAGAAATGCTTACCTGGTGGGAAATAAGGGGGTACTGTAGTTTTGTGCGTTCCCTCTTCACACTCTTTCAGTCGTTTCTGGAGATCCACAATTTGTCGACGAATTGCAAGGATATTGTTTTTGTCCAGTGATTCTAGTTCATTTACCAGTATAGTCAGATTTGTGATCTAGACACAGAAAAATAGATAATAAATTCAAATTTCTGTTCACTTTATTTTACAGATATTTTCAGGCAGTGTTGATCATAACACAGAAGATGTTACAGAACAGTTTTTAAGAAATATCCTCAAGAATAGGCTTTATCCTGCTAGCCTGAACTTTATATTTCCAGCAGATGTATGTGACCGTGAAGAAATGCTTTGGTTCTCAGCTGTATAACATAATGCAAAAATATAGTGTTATTTTTATAGTACATACAAAAATATCTAGTAAGTCTTAGGAGGTACTAGCTGTTATATATAAAATGTACTTATTCCAGCCTTACAAAAGTATCTAGAATTCTATTTGCAAAGATAAATAACATTCTCTATCACCTACTTGATGATCTAGAGGACAATGGACTAAATGATATTTCACTTTTCATCTAAAGTTATTATACTCTCTAGGTGAGTGATTAACTACAATTTTGAAAATGTGATTTATAGTCTGCTGGGAAGGTGATAGTCTTTCCCATTCTTGATTTCATATTGATTGGGTCACTGCCCTAGCAACCAGAAGCTGATTTTTTTAATTATCTGTGTTAAAGCAAAGAGGCTTTCAAGCATGGGGGTCTATAAATTATTATTTATTATAATAATATAATCAGCTTGTGTGCTTAACACTATGCGAAACTGTTAACTTCCAGGCAGATGTTTGGTAAAAATAAAGCTTTCTCCATTTGCTTTGGGGTTTCTTTGCTTTTTTATGCTCTATATCAAGGAAAAAGCTGTTAATACATTTAAGGTCAAGCTTTCTTTTAATTTATGCCGGTGAACTGCTAAAATAATTCCACTGGCTGCAGTAGAGACAGGCTACATTTTCTCAACCTAAACATTAAAGAGAGAATAGACTATCTGTGTATTTGAACTCTCTGTAGCTAATTAAGACTTTGGGAATACCTCCAAATATATTTGCTCAACGATGACATTGCTTCCGACAAGGCTGAATTTCAGCTGGGTGACCAGTCTCTCCAGGTCATTGATTTCTACTTTCAGCAACTGGAAGTCCAGCTCTGTGTAGGATATACTGCTCTTCTCCATATGCTGCACTCTGATGGTTAGGTTAAGGATTTGCTGCTGATACAGTTCAATCTTTTTTGAGTACTCTCTAACCTTGAAGAATGAAAAAAAAAAAGGGTACATATTCAAGTCCAGGTTAGCAAATAAGACAATCCTGTTTGAAATCGCTATTATATTTCTGAGTACCCTATGCATGACTTCCACATACTTGACGTATATATTCTTCACATAAACTACATAAATGAAATTCTCATCACATATATAAAATATGTGAAATTTAATCCTCATTTATTGTTGGCAGTTGCACAAATTCCCCTCAGGAATGCCTGGGGATAACTGAAGGCAGAATTTTACTCAGTCTTCCTTTTTTTTAAATTCTTTGCCAATATTGCCTCTCTGAGCTAATTTTATCTTCAGTATGCCAAGAACTTATATCGGCAAAAATTTCATTAGGAAATCTGCAGTGTATTATCTCACAAAAGCAACCCAAGGAGACTGAAAAATGCAATAAAGGATCCCCAAGTTTTTCAACTTCATTTCTTACTAGCTCTGAATCCAAATAGGATTTTACCCTGTGTACATTTGAATTGTGTCAAAAGCTGGCAGAACCAATCTGGGGTTTGTCTTTGGGCAGGGGTAAAATGTTTAATCACAGCATTAAAAACAAATCTGGTTTAAATGGAAGTGAAAATATATTGCAGGCTTTAGCTAAAGTAATTTATGTAACAGCTTTTTCAGCCTTTGAACCATTAAACAGTTGTCCAGATAAATAAATTTTCACACATGTATCTGCTGAGGTAAAGATCACAGCACAAGCATTGTGATGCAGAGTGATTAAATTATATGGAATTGGGACATTCCTCTGAAAATGTTAGTTACTTGAAATTTAACACTTTGGGAAAGACATGTAATTTCTTTCCCATATGCTTCATAAATGTTATGTCTCTTTTCCCTTAAATCTGGCACTATAACAGGCTGCCCAGGGAGGTTGTGGATTCTTCCTCTCTGAAGACATTCAAAACCCACCTGAACATATTCCTGTGTAACCTGCTCTAGGTGGCCGTGCCTTGGCAGGGTGGTTGGACCTGATGATTTCCTGAAGTCCCTTCCAACCCTAGTGATTCTGTGAATTCACTGATCAGCAAAATCAGTCTGGAGCTGGAAGATACCTCTCCAAAAAAAAAAAAAAATCCTGAAGAAAACCTCCTGAAAATAATCTTCAAAGGTCAATGTTTAAACTGTGTCTAGAGTTTGCACAAGAAAAAAGAAATAAAGAAAAATAATACATGATTACAGCCTGAAAAACATAAAGCAAGCCCATGTGTGAATGAAATTGCACTGCTGTGTGAAGCTACGTGCATCAGAGGGGCGTGTGGAAATAACCTTTCTTACAGTAATACTAATAGTAATAATAATAATGGTAACAATAATAATGAAATACAGACCAAATTCACAAACTACTGAAATAAACAGACAGCTGGAATTAGTGATGGCTGCTCATTAGTGAGAAACCTGTGAATCTGAAGTTTTCTCCAGGGTCCTGAGAGCCTAGACAAAATGCTGAGTGCTGGAACAAGGCATACATAGTTTTTTCAGCCCTGATTGCAGAGTGCTGCAGGACACAGACCTGAAGTTCTCTTCCAACATCAGAGGGTTTTCACTCAGTCAACCATCTAGGTCATTTAAAGACATGTCAACACTATCCAGTGGAGTATAGCTGAGAGATATCCAAGTTGAACTTGAATTAGGGCCAGCACTCTGCAGTGCTCTTTACAGCCACACCAGCATCGCAATGAACTTCAACTAATAGCTCCTCTGGTGAATTATTGGCCAAATATAATTTTCCCAGCAGTGCTCTAACAGGTTTATACTGCTTTTGTAGACAAATTCAGCACATATGTCAAGCACTGAAATGCCCTGTGTGGACATTCCTGCCTGCTCAGGTATGGCTTAGGAGCTTCACTAGCTTAGAAATATCAGTTGAAAAAGGAACATGATGTTGCTCTGTTGCTTGACAGATAAATTTAAGCAGTTTATAATCCCTGTTCTTTTATTTCATCTACCTGCTAGGGACTGGCTGCTCTCCCTTAACAGGCTGGCCCAGAAATTCTGCGCATATCCCGTATTTAGAGCTACAGACCAATGACTAGCACTGATTACTGCCACATTTGCCATTAAAGCTTAAAGCAGGGTAAGATGAGTGCATAAGACCTGTATTAGCCCTTTGTAGGAAGAGAGTAGAGCCATGTGAAGCATATGTAGGAAAAAAATTCCTCAGTTTCAGTTTTTCCTCCTTTCTAAGCATTGTCACCCTCGTGGAATGAAAAGGGCAGGAAAAATTTGCAATGCTTATTTACTGTGTCGTTTACCTGCAATTGGTATTTATCAAAACAGGTTTTGCAGCATGGAGACACTTCTCTAGAACACACTTGGAGAATACAGAAGTGGGGGAATGGTGCAAAATGAAGATGTAAAAGAAAAAATTGGGAAGACTGAGGGACGAAAAAAGAGAGAAGTAACAAAACCAACAACTCTCTGAAGTCACTCAGCCCAGGACACTGGCTTCAGGCAGGCCTGACCTCTACAGACCTGTAAGGAGCTAGGTTGGCAGACAGTCCTCAAGCTGACACCCAGAATAATTCCACTGCAGGCTAACCTGTTTTGAAAACAGCTGTTCGTGGCAGAGGGGAGGCATGATTTTTTCCTCCAGTTTTTGTTATGTGAGGATGTTGTGGCAGTTATGAGCCAAGTTCTGAAAGGCACTTTCTCTCCTTGGGATCACATACTGATCCAAGCCTGTTACAGAGTTGTCCTCTCCCTCTTCCTATTGAGAGGAGCAGCCAATTCCTGCTTTGCTTTGAAAGGTTAATTTTCTTCTGTAATCATAATTATGCTGGCAAAGGTTGATGTGACAGAGGAAAAATTAGACTGGTATTTTCAGCCTACAGTTTGTACTCATTTGGCACATGAGTGCATCTCTTTATCTGTGAGCTTCCTTGCCTGCTGATTCTATAAAAGGACCCCCTTGCTTTTGAATTAGCCAACAATCAGGCAAAAGGTTAACGATTCAATCAGGTTGTTTATCTGGGGCTTGTAGCACATGGAAAGCATCCTTAAGAGGGTCTAATCCTGCAGCTGTTACCCAGGAAAAGCTCCTATGAGCTTCAATGTGTGTTATAGAAGAGCAACTGAAGCATGGATTCTCAGAGTCAAAAAAGGAAACACTCAGTAGAAATTCTCACCCCTGTGGTGAGACTAGGTTACATGTGAGCATGATTCCCTAGGAGTTTGCTCAGGATCATTTCTTACAATGACCAAGAATGAGAGCTTGGCTTTCCTCCATTTCATTATTTCCTTCTTTCTGTGAGTATTATCATGACTGAAGTAATATATTGAATTGTATTAGCAGGAAAGGTGGAGAATTTTTAAGCATGGAGATGCAAGCATCACAAGATCTCAGATTTCTTAAGTTCAGATATCAATAAGGCAATGTTCGACAACTTTCTTCTTTCTACAGAAAAACAACATCACAACTGAGAAATCTTACACACATAAAATCACATCAAAATGCAATCTGTTCATTTTCATTTCTGACCCAGTGTCTCTTTGCCAATATCACACCAAAGTATATATCACACTTTATCTGACTAGATGCATTGTAACACTGCTTGGTTGATTGGTCTTGACAGGATGAAATTCAGTGAAGCCCGGGTCAGTGAAAGAACTTTTTGCTGTCTGCAGCGAGAATTGAAAGGTCAGTGTCTACACTGTGGCACACTGCTGGGCACCTAAGGAGGACAACACAGTACACTAGGTGACGCCAGCTGGCAGCCTAGACACTGAAGTCCACTGTGGGGATTTATCTTGCCCTGAATTTAGAGGTGAGTTTCAGGTACAAATCTGCACACCTAATTTTAGGTATCTATATTAACTTGTGTCTTTATATGAGCAAGATGTCTGAACTCAATAGAGATCTGAGGTTGTCCACACAAAGATGTCAAGCAGCACTTGATGTGCTCTCTAGATCTGCACGGCACTAGCAGGTAAGTCAACCATCCTAAAGGAAATATGCACCATACTGAGGAAGTACTGGTAAGAGACTGGTTACACAAGGGCACATAACTGGGAGAGGTAGCACACAAACACCTTGAAGAGCCACACCAACTTTCTGGCTGAGAAGCATGCTCCTGATCCTGTTCCAGTGCAATTAGCTTAAAATGCCAGCACTGACCACAATAGGAACAGTATGGGGACCTGAAACTTCAGAGATCTTCATGGATCATTAACTCTGAGCTACACCTCCATGCTGCAAGGGATCAGGTACCTCCTGTACTTGGAGGCAGTGGGACTTCTGTCAGTTTGCCCTTCATATCCCTGCTGACAGCTGAGTGTGTCTCATTGTTAGCTCCAATTCTTTCAAAACAAATGATTTGAACCGAAAGATCTTACCACAGGATCCTCTGCTGTTGTTGTGTTTTTTATGCATAACTTCTTATCTGTTCATGATTATACGAGAGGGTTATGAATATTTATAGTTAGAATTTATAATTTAATGCCGTTCCTTTTCTGCTGATTAATTCAAGAACACTTCACTTCTTAAGAAGTTTGGTTCCTGAAGGAAACACTTTCTGCTGGACACCTAATCTGAATCTTGAATATTTATCCAGTATCAAAAGTCAAAGACAGATTTCTGTCTTCACAGGCAGCTTCACCCCATGAACTGCAGCATGTATAGGTTTGCCCATGTTCCTCAAAACAAATTAATCTGAATTCATGCAAAAAGCAGCCGAACAGTGTAAGGTGTGTTTGTCTTCAACAGCAATGCATAATTCAGCAGTCCCACTGCCACAACTTCAGATGTTGACAAGAAAGGTATTTTATTTTTTAATTTTTTTTTTCTAATCCATGAGAGCAGAAGAAGCGAAGGGGCAAATATTCACCTACTTCTTCACTCTGGTCTTTGGTGACTTTTCCCTTCCTTCTATTCATTTCCCTTTCACAAGCTGGCTGTCTTGATAAAAATAATAACACGTGAAAGAGCAGGAGGCTTGGCTTCCTGTAGCTCTGTGTAGCAATCACAAACCAATAAAACTGAGCCAGAAGAGGAGAAACATAACCATTCTTCCAAAAATACTGTAAGCCTTTAGCTCTAAAGGCCTAGAAAAGAGACCTAAGGATATTCAAATGTACGACATCCTGCAACGTCAAAGATTTAAGATTGAATCACCCTTCTCTGTGTTCTCACAGAGCCCTCTTTCCCACTGTTTGAAAGACACATCACAGAAAAGCACTGACTGCTGTACTTTTCCACAGGCAACCATTTTCCAGCAGATACAATTGTTGTATTTATGAGAAAAGAACACCTTACTTGAGAAAGCTCTATCTCAAATTTCTTCATGAGTGTTGCAGCTATTATCTCCAATTGCTCAGCCTTCTGCACTGGGAAGGTGGTATCTGGCAAGTACACAGAGCACTGACAAGTTCCCTCGTCATCCACAGAGCCAGACACATTGGTGAAGAGCTGCAATAACAAATCAGCAAGGAAAAAAAGTGTTAGCATTCTTCTCTGGAATCAGTAACTAAGGTCTGATAATAACATGAGCTATGACAATTATAAGATCTACAACTTCATTAATAGAATCATAGAATAGTTAGGGTTGGAAAGGACCTTGAGATTATTTATTTCCAACCCCCCTGCCATGGGCAGGGACACCTCACACTAAACCATCTCACCCAAGGCTCTGTCCAACCTGGCCTTGAACACCGCCAGGGATGAAGCAATCACAAATTCCTTGGGCAACCCATTCCAGTGCCTCACCACCCTTAGAGGAAAAAACTTCTTTTTATAGACATCTTTCACCTTTTTCTTCTAATGAGCTCAAAATAGCTAGCAATTTTTATGATTCAGCCTTACAATCTTACTGAAAATAGTTAAATATTGCTGTAAAGATTGTACCATTGGAAAAACAGAGGCATATAATAGTCCTTACTTTCCCAATCTTGTGGACAACATTCCTAAGATAATGAAATAACTTTTACAGCAGACAGAAAAGCACACAACAGCAGGAAAATAACTTAATAGTTAGGGTTTATAGTTACTGTTCTGTTATCTGAATTGATCAGATTATCTAGTCATTTCCATCCATAGAGATGAAAGCAGTGTAACAGAGCCAGTAACGGGGTTTTGAAGAGAAAAATGTGTAATTTGTAGTTTCTCAGCCAGCCCAGAGGTAACAAACATGCGCATTTAATTATACCGTAGAAAGGTGATGAATTAAATATGCAGGATCAACCTACAGAAGAGATATTTATTTTGATACAAAACATTGCACGTAATACCCACAAATCACAGTCCGCCCATCCACATTTGTGGGTAGTCTGCAAAGCCATTGCCCGTGCCATTAGCATGAATCGTGACTGTCTGCATGCTCAAAGAATCACCATTGGAGCAATGTGTAATGTGTATGGAAAGGTCAGGGCTGGCAATTCATAATCTTGCCATAATTTACAGCCAAAGCACATAATTTCCTATAAACACTGGGCTGAATACTGAGTGTGTTTGGAGCTGTTCTTTTCTGTTTGTACACAAAATGTTTCTTGTTCATAAACCTATCACGTATTTATTAATAAAGATATTTGATGTTACTTTAAAATATTCTGGTACACACTTCAATGCAGCTGCATATGTTAAAGCTACAGGCTTGCTCCTTAAATACACTTCTTTCTATAATCTCTCCTCCTGCTTTGCAGAAATCCCAGTATTATTCATCTGTTTTCTCTTTCCCTCTTAAAAATAAACAAGCAAACAACAAAACTATTCACTGAAAGCTGACACTTCAACACTTCTCCCTTTGCTTTTTCACAGTGATTTCAACTAACCACCAAGCCAGTGCAGAACATGCAGTGATGGCCATCAGCAAAGCTATCTTGATCTGTGAGCCCAAGAAGAGAACAGCAGCAAGCAGGAATGATCCCAGATCACACTTCCGGAAACCTCTTTACCTCAGCCATAACAAAGAGCCTGCATCTCATTTTGAAAGAAAGTATGGAAATAAGTTTTATCTGTGTTATCTAAGCACCACAGCCCTTAAAACATAGGCAGACTTCTGAGGCCATTTAATGTGAAAGGAAGCAGAGAAATATCTCATGGTATTGCAGAATGTCCCAGCACATAACTTCCATTGATTTCCCTGACAGGTAGGTTACCAAAGCACTTCTGAAAATCCCACTGGGAACCTACTGCAAACTATTTATAAGTTTCCAAGTACTTTTGAAGATACGCTAGCAATACCTAAATAACTATGAAAAATAGGTTCATAAGTCACTTAGATGCTTCTATACCTCTGAATCCTCTCTGTAAAGCCATGACTGGGATGGCTAGCTGTTCAGTAATAACAGAAGAAACAGATGGGGTGTGGGATGACAAAAGAAGAAATAAATGTGGCTTAGCGAGTATATGTGACTGTCTGTAAGACTGTTGTGCACTGGCATGCTAATTTTTATGTGGAAGGTATTGTATTCTATCCCTTCTTTGAATAGCATAAGTACAGCATATATGTGTATATGTATAGCAAGAGAAAGTGTACTATACATAGTACAGCATAGTGTGCTGTATACATAATCACGTTTCCACACATAGTGTAGTGTGAACTGTACATTGTATACTCTGCTATAAAGTCTTGATTATATATGGCTATCATTTTATCTAGAGGTACCACGCTTATTTCATGTGCTAAGCAAACCATTCACAAACATGTTCAGATGACCTCCCAAAAAACCTCCAATTTGTGCATTTAAACTCCCTATGAAAAGTAACCATTATATTTTAACATCTGTGTTAGGAGTGAGTCCTGAGTTGAAGGAAGAGCTTCACTGCAGTAAGTGCAGCTTATGTCTGAGCCAAGAGACAGTTTCCCCAAAGGAGCAGACAGCCTGGGATGATGGAACTGTTTCCATACTTCCATTGACATTACAAACATTGGGATCGTAACGTTAATGAAACCAAGAAGCATGATTTAGTTAAAAGCCCCTTGGGTCAGTAAGCACTTCTATCAAAATATAAAACCAGTCAAATGATAACCATATAGCAAAAAAGTCTTCCCTGATCCTGTAAAAATTTCCACAAGGTAGGCTGTTACTTTTGATCGAGTTGTATGGTTTTTAAAATTTAATAATTTATATTGGATGCTTAAAAAAGAGCAAACTGTCCTAGCCTACAGCAAGGACTTAACTGCAACATTTCACTCTGTAAAATTAAGCTGTTACATACGCATATTTGAAGCTATGAGAGATGTTCCTTTCCCACAACCCTTCAATTTAAGAAAAGGAGTAGGAGCCAACAGTTACTCCATTTTCTGAAAAACAGAATATTTAATCAGCTGCCTAAATGTGGGCATAGGGTTTCATGCTCACAACAGCCAGGCCATTTCAGTGCTTAATTTCCAGCTACACTGTAGCCCAGCAGCATTTACAGCTCTGAATTAGCTACTTGGTTATCCTAAGACATCCTAAGGAATCACACAGCAGGGACCAGAGGCCACCCCAGCTGACCTAAGAGGTGGATGAGGTTTGTGTCCTGTTACTGAGAGCTGGAGAGAGACTCCTGACTCCATTTAACTGTCTATATCCTTTACTGGAGCGGGAAAAGGTCCCTCCACATACCCCAGGCACCACACTGGGTTACCCTGGACAATGAAGACCAAAGATCAAGCTGTCTACCGGCTCCAACCTGTTGTGGAGCTGTGCTCTGGACAAACTCTGTTCTTGGTACTAGCTTGCAAATGCAGAACAACTGTGTCACTTTGAATCTGCTCCGAAGCAAACATGTTATTAAGCAGTCACTGACAGAGAGAGACAGGGAAACCAAACCCTGAAATCCACAGACCATGAACCTGAGCACTGTACCAGAAGGCATGGAAATCAGATACAAGTCCCTCTATCATCCAATACTTGAATAAATTTTGATCTAAGTAGAACAGGGAGAATCAAGACTTTCTCACCCTCAGCAACCAGAAGCGGGCACTTCTCAGAAAGCAGTTTCAAGGCCCTGTTCTGGTTTACATGGGAAGGCAGAGTTGAAAAGAAGTCTCCCTATTCCTCCAGGGAAGCTGTAACCACCAAACCGTTTGATACATTGCTATCAAACCCCCACTGCCCCAGCTGTTTCCTATCTGGGATCCAGTTCAATAGTCACAAGGACAGTGCTGGAGCTTTGGATGTGACCTAAGGCATTGAATGACACAACAGCAGCACTAAGGATTTGGGGAATTCACTACTGCCTAAAATCCTGGGTATCCTGAAGGCTTTTCCTGGGCAGCCGAACTGACATGCCTTGTATCAGAGTTAAATCTCTGAGTGACTAAATGTGTACCATTTAAACACTGGGACACAAGTTCTTAATTTTGCTCTTTTCTGGACTTATTGAAGAACAGTAATGGTTATACCTTTGGGGGAGTGTGCAGGTTGCCAGTCACCTTGCTAGGTTGAGTCACATATGGGAGCATTGTATTGGGATCAGGGCTCTGAAAAGCAAAGGAAAGCCATTTCCAGAGTTAATTCCTGCAGATAGCATCATCCCTTCCATACCAGCTAGCCTCCACACTGCAGCTCTAAACCACTTTGATTTTACTATGGGAGCAATCCCCAGCAACTGTAAAATTAATTGACTTTTCTAATCTGCTGCTGAGGTGACTGAAGTTTTCCTGGGCATAATGTCACTTCAAAGACACTTCTTGAAGAAAGGCTTGATGTGACCAATGAAAGGCAGGGGATGCTCAGCCTGCCCAGGAGGTGTGAGCTGGGGCCTGGCAGGCAGCCCTAGCAGATTACATGTCAGTATAAAATGACAGGACAGTGCTTTCCTGCCCTAAATTTGGAACTATTGTCTTCCCAACAAGGATGTCTGCTCCTCACTGCCCAGCTCATGCTCCAGCTTCTCAGCACAGCACTTGTTGCTGCTTTCACACCAAGATGTCAGGCTGCAAGCTGTGATGGCTGGGGCATGTGTCCCACTCTGCTACTAGCACCATGGAGGGGAAAGCATCCCACCACAGAGTAGGTAGCCACCACAGTGCTAAGGATACAGCCAGGTCCACCTTGGGAGCCTTTTATGCAGTAAGACGATATACATGTCCTTTAATTCTCATCTGTAGTTGGCACCTGCCTTCCTGCCACACCAAGGAGAGCAGCTGTCACTCTGGCACTGATCTCTGTGTCACTAAAGGTCTGCTGCATCCCCACACAGTGTGCAGAGCACGGTGCATCGCCAGGGATGCAGCACACTGCCACCCACAACAGGGTCTCACCAAAATCTGTGGCAAACTGGGAACTGCAGCAAGACACCCTTGATGTCAAATGGTGTGACAGATGGAACATCAAATGGGCTTCCCCTGCAACAGGGCGCTCACCCCTGTGTCTTTCTGCATTTCCCAAATTTCAGCCAGAGCCCCATTCCTGAGCTAGAGAATGCTGAGGAAATACAAATGGCTGGCAAAAGGCAGGTCTGTTAAAGCACACATTGTAAACAGGCTTCTGTGGGACAGTTTGTCAAATAAATCCATTTCAAGAAGCATTTGTGTGATTATATGATTACACTGAACATGGCGGGGGAGAGGAGGACATTGTTAGGGCAGAGAGCATCACAAATTGGTAAGTTACATAAACTGGGGCTGCCTTAAAGCAAAGCTGCCTGAGGAGAAACATCTCCCATATCAAGCTTATCAATACATATTTACACCTCCGTCTTGACTTTCGAAACTTTCTGGGTTTTGAGCAGATAAAAGCACCTTCCCAGGAGGTGCTGACTTCACTGCCTGCATCCACAGTGCTCCCAAACTTCAAACAATGCAACTAGTGGCATGCCAGATCTTTCTGGTCAGTGACTAAACCACAAAATCAGAAAGAGTCATTGGGAGCCAAAAAGGGGTTTGCTTGTTTATTTTTCCCAGATTTTATCTAAAGAATACCAAAAGGCAATCACTTCAGGTCAAATAAAACCAAAATGATTTGTTTCATTTGGAGGAGTTTTTAAGCTATTTGCAAACTTTTTTGTCTGATAATTTAAGCTCAGTTTTAAATTGAAAAAAAAAAAAAAAGAAGATGCAGTACAAAATCAAAGCAAATCTTTCACTAGTGTAATTTAATTTTTAATTCTTGAATTTTTTTTTCTACTTTTGCTTTTCTCCCTTCCTCCCTGGATTTATTGTTTGGTGGCTGTTTGGGATTTTTTTTCCCTGACAGCTGGCTTTGATTTGAATATTTCTCTTGCCCAACCAGATAGAGTTTTATGGAGAAGAGGGAGAGCACCCCACAAAAAACAGCCAGCATGGTTTTCATGTGCCTAGTCATAAAGCATGAGAGCAATCATGCAACTGAAAAAGCCCCTACCTCCCAACTGCTTTCACATCAAAGATGTGGATCCTTTCCTGCTATAAGCCCTTGCTAATTAATTAAAAGCTACACAGAGCATTTAAAATCCACTCAGAGCCTCACTGGGAGTTGCACTCATCTAACCAAAGGCAGAATTTGGCTCTGATTTTAAACCTGTGCCTCACTTTTACATTTATTACCCAGTCCTTATATATCAGTTGGAGGGAGGATGGAGGAATACTTCAAACTTTCTCCATGCAGAGATCTCAGCATTTGCCCAATAGTAACCTTGAAGAATAAAGAATTTTCAGCAATCTAAATTACATGAGAAGAAAAGAAGACACCAAAGTTCAGGTTATGAAACTCTCATCTTACCCCTTCTGTTGCCGCCTTTGTTACAGCCAGAGTGATCATGATTTGCATGAGAAGCAGCACAGCCACCTGTGTGTGCTTCATCTTCTCACCCAGCAGATGTGACAGCGCAGGGACAATGGAGGTCTTTTATAGCACAGCCTGGGGATTTCCCCAACTAAGCCTTAAGGAACTAACTTGCATATTTTTTTAAGTTTTTGGATAAGTGATGCCATGAAGTTGTATAATAACAGGTGCCAAATTCTTAATGTGCAAAGAACTTTTGAGTTGCCATCACAAATTTACTACTTCCAGTTTCCTAACTGGAAAGCTTTCCCATATGGTGCAGTATCTAATCTTAATCTTGATTAAGCAGAACACCAGGTGCTTATTTGCTAGGACAGGTAGATAGACACTTCCTCTTACTGTGACTCAATCACAAAAATTCTTATAGATGCCTCCTAAGTTATGCAGACAATACAGGTCTGCGTGGTATTTATTACCTATAAGCACAGAGAAGAGCAGGTCTGGTTAGACTGTTCACACACCAGAAACATCATCTCTTTTTTAAATAGGTAAACAGACCTTTGACAATAATGCAGAGAGGTCTTTAGAGCTTTTCAGTTCCTTCAGTTCTCACATAGCACAGGTGGGACACAGACTATCTCTGCCCATTTTCTTTTCCCAGAAGGCTTATGCCTTGTGTATTAGCACTATGTATCCATTAATGCTTACTCGTGCATTAACACCGTGCCCTCATTAGTGCTTACTCACTTGCTCTCTTTCGATAGAGCTGCATGCCACCTGACCACAATGATTCATTGTCCTGCCTCTAGAGCACTGATGTAGAAAGATTATAAAAGGCTGCAGGCAATGGTTAGTGTGGCTCCACACTCTCCAGCTCTACTATATAACAGGCACTGTCTGAAGATCCCAAGGCACCTAGCCCACCATGGGAACCCCTCACTTCCAACAAGCTACCACTTTGATGGAGCCAGCTGCAAGCCTCCAACTGGTGCAAGAGAAATCAAGATTCCTCTCCAGAGTTCTGTGGATCCCTGGGAAAATGAGCTTGCTGTTTGGGAGGAAGGTTCCAGTTGGGACTAAGAGGATGGCCATATGTGTGCACTTGTAAAAGAAGTCAACAGGTCTCTAGGCTAAAGCTTGTCCCTTCCTGTGCCTGTATTGTCCATGCAGTGTTTATTCTTTTCTTCTTAACTTTGTCAGACTCGGCTCTTCTGCTGGGTCAGTTGTGTGTAAGTGAAGAAAGTGGTTAGGAGACGCTTATTCTGTTCCAATGTTGGAGGGGAGAGGTAATGGCAGGAGCAGTGGTTTTTCCAAGCAGCAGTACTGCCTCATATGAAACCCGCCTCCCAGATGAGGAACTCAGAAGGGTTTTTTGTGCTACTATAGCACTGTCAGCTCCAGGTGGCAAATTGGAAAATTGAAGCTCAGGGCAGATCCATACTAGAAAACTCTTCAGAGCAGTCATGTCCATTGGGGTAACATGTTTTTACCACATCTTCTCATAAGTATAAGCCTCGTGACAGATTCACAAGGCTGGCAGCAGCTATCTTTTTTGAGAAGTAGCTCATTTTTCAGGGAATGGATATAATATGTTCTTGCAAAAACACTTTTTCACAGCAGAAGCTGCATTTCTGCTGGAGGTTTTCATAGCTAATAATTCAATGTAAGATAGACAAGACCTGGAAGGCATGTGAAATGTCTGTGCAAGAAGAACCAGTGGTGGTAAAGCAAGAAAATGAATCTATGCCTCTTCCTCCCAGGTTACAGTGGTCTGATTTCCTGGGGTAAATCTCAGTACTGTCAAGGGAATACGAAGACTGAAGCTGTAATTACAGTGTCTTTGTAAGGGCTCAAGTCCTGAGCTCCAGTTCAAAAGGAGCAAATTGGCCCAAACCAGAGCAGCTATAGGGTATGAGCTACCCTCTGCACCATAAAAAACATTTTGGCCACTCCAGAGCAGAGTTTAAGTGCAAACCAGCACATACGTATTGCAGGTAACTTGTAAGCCTACACTGCCCAGCTAGTTAACTCCCAGTTTACTCTGAGGTGGTGATAGCCTGACACTGCCACTTCCTTCCCAGCATCTTTTTTTGAGTGAACCAACTGATCTTCTTCATACAAAAATGAGGGAAGTCCTGGGAACAGATTGCTCTCAAAAGGTGGCATTGATGAGAGTTTAATCCCTATCAATGTTGCCTGGTCCTCCAACTCCTGCCGTAAGCCCTCTTGGTACATCCCTTGTTATAGAAATGCCACTCTGGTGGGCTGTAACACATGCCTCAGGTTATTTGTGATGCTCCAAACAAAAAGAAAATAGATAGACAGATATATAGATAGAGAGAAAGAGAGAGAGAGAGAGAGATCAAAACACAGAAAAGCAACGATCACAAGAGCAAAATGTCCCAGAAGAGACTGAAAAGGAGAACTGCTCTGTTTCATTGTGTGGATACAAGGGAAACCACCAGGCTGCTGCAAAGGAATCAGCTCTGAGCAGGCTGCAAACAGGCCACTTTTTCTGTGGACCAGGCATCATTCCCAGGGGTTGGATGCATTTAGCAGGATAAATGCAGCCTCAAGGAACAGCCCAACACAGAGAAATAAGGAAACCAACCTGGCATTTCAGATGGACCTATCTTCGTGCAAACCCCAGGTAAGCTGCATGATCCGTGCCCCATCCACGCAGCAACACCTTGGCAGCCTGCAAACTGCCTGAAGGCAGCTGGCTATGGGACATACAAGCCTACCTGCCTCGCTAGGACATCTGTAGTCCTGCTAGCTACAGAGAGGACCACTTTGCAGCACACATAGCTGCACTCGCAGGCTCCAGCACAGAGCATGTACAGTTCCAAAGCAGCTTTGTGGAGTCAGTATAGACAGCCTGTGAGTTGGGGGCTAGATCTCTAATCATGAGAAAAACCTGGGGTTTGAGCATAACAGTAAGTCTCTGTTCCTTCCACAGGCTGGTACTGCAAATCACTCACAAAGCACAATAATTTCTCACCAGTTTTGTTTCAGGCTTAAAAGACAATTCTGAGATAGGAAGCAAATATTAGCTAAGTAATGATAGTTATTCAGCTGCTTTGGCAATTTCTCCTGCATTTCTGTTTGCACATGACCTCACAGAGACAATAAGGATATAAATTTTTATTCCTGGTCAAGGCATAATTATTACTAAATAAAAATACCTTCTTTGGATTTATGTAGAACACTTCATCTGAAAAAATAAGTTAAACCCATTGTCTGCATTTCAGAGGAAAAAAGCTATACTTAGATGTCATACAGGAAGGTTGCACTTATGTATGAATTTCTGCTTAGGAAACAGCAAAATACAAGGGTTTTCTCTTTGTAGAGCTCCACCCACCAGTACTTCCTTGTTGTGCAACAGACCCAGTGGGCGATCCAGGGCAAAGTCCCTGGAACACAGACTTTCTCTTTGATTTCAGTGAGAGTTATAGATCAAAATGTATTTGAAAAGAACACTCTTTTTCTCTCAGAACCCTGTTCTTCTCAAACCAGCCTAACTTAAGCCATTGTGTTTATTACAGCAGAGATTGTTGTGATTTTTATTCAACAGAGAGATAGGTGATCCAGATCATCTGCTCTCATCTGGCTCAGTCCAAAGTCATTGGAGTCAAATAATACTTAATTGTGCTTGGTGGTGTGAACATAACCTCTACTTCTCAATTTCTCATCTACATTTGAAAAAGATAGTATTTCCCTGCCTCAGACTCATGTTTTCAAATTAGATGCACCAATAAGAATAAGAGATAGTCAACTATTACAAGAACAGGGACCACATTAAACATGCAAAAATAAGGGTAAAAGAAAGGATACATGTCTCAGCTTGTAGGCCAATGACAGGATGAAGAATTGAATGTAGGCTATGTATCTTGGTTCTATCTATCAAATAATCAATTAATATATTTGTTCTAGCTGATGTGATGATTTCAAGTTGTCTCTAAACTGTTCAGAACATTTCCAGGACAGGTGTATGACTTTCTTAAAACAAAAAAAAATAAAAAGGAGAAGATTTAAATTTAGGTGTAGTATCTAATCGTGCTAACTTGACAGAACAGTTCAAAGTACTGCACTGCACTGTACATTATTTTTGCAAGTCTAATGTAAAAGCGTTTCTACTCTTTGCCTGCAGACACAATAAGACACAAGCCTCATGGAAACAGCATTCCAATGCATGCTGTCCAGTACCCTCTACACTGTGGATTTAGCAAAGCTTGCCTAAAGCTTGTTAAATCCCCCCTCCCACCAACCTATGTATTTCTGAAGTATAGCCAAAAAAGATGGAGGAATTATTAATTCACCTTCATCCTGTGATACAAGAACATAACAGCTAATATTCTTCTTTTTTTTTCCCAAAAGTGGCTGCAAAGTGATTCGTCCTGAAGCTAACCAGTCTGGGCTGCTTTGGTTATAAAATCACTCTGTAGTGACACAAGGATGTTAGGGTGAGCAGCTCTCTTCAGTAAGATGCTGTGTAACAACTGACATCACAAAATCGTGCCATTTCCCAATATTGATGACCTGCATAAGCCTGTTCTACTTTACTAATCTCTTTATAAATTGTTTGCACTTTTTCCCCCTCCAAGTGATTCACATTCTTATGTAATATATTTTAGTGTCATCTATCATAAAGCCCATCTTCTTAGAAGACATTATGCAAATACTTACATTTAATCCCTTTATCAGTAGAATGTCAGGTTAATGTTTTTAAAAAAACATCCCTCTGGGCCATGTCCAAAATAAGAAAGCATATGAGAAATATTGACATGTAGTTTAAAAGGTGTTAGTAAGGGTGAGTCTCAGTTATGTGAGACTGTAGAAAAGGGGCATCTTCCTGCTGTAGAATGAGAAACTAAGCACTATTTGCAGAGAGAGAGAAATTTCCTTTACGCTTTTAAAAATGACACTGACACAAACTGAGGTGATTGAGCTGCCAAAACCGAAAGAAAAAAAATATCCTTAATGTCAAGAAAAAAAGATCTTTACTGAGAAAGACATAAGGGGAAGAATACAGCAGGTGAGGTACATGCCAGACAGAACTGTGAGAAATTGTTAGCCATAGATTGCGTGG